ATTCTCTCATTTCTTTCAATTGGGGATTCTTTCTTTGTCTCCCAGTTTTAGGTGACTCCTTTTTTTGTTTGTTTGTTTCCATGTCTCATAATGTCCTGCCTTTCCAGCTGTCTCTGTGAGGTAGATTTCTGTGGTAGGAGTTCTGTGGAACTCAGCTGTGCTATCTCTTTGATCTCCTTGTCTGAATGCCCTAGGGTTGCTCTTTATTCCATTTGTGTTGGCTCTCTTGTTGTACCTGGGCTTTACTTATTGGTGGATTCTCCCCTCCAGCAGGCTTACAGGTAGTCACAACTCCTATCTCGTCTCGTATGCTGTTGTTTCAGTGTTGGTTAACAAGGCAGTATTACCAAACAACCAAACCTATGTCAGCAAAAAGAACCCCCTGCCACATCAGCAATCTCAGCCACAGTTGAGCAAAGATTAATAAAGGTGAAGAGAGATTACAGATATAATATATGACAAAGAGAATATGAGATGACTAAAAGAAGGAAAATGTTATTGAGTGGGTAGAGGGGGAGAACTGATACATCTAGAGATAGAACCAAGGCAAAGAAAGGAAGAGAACAAAATTTAAAATGCAAGTAAAACACAGAGAGGTGATGTGAACAATGGGGAAGAAAAGGGAAAAGTATACTATGAGGTCTGAAGTGAACTCAAAAAGTAATTAGACCAACGAGAGTAAAATTGCAGAAAAACCACAGCAGGATCAATAGCAGCAACTGTTAAATGGATTTTAGTAAAGGTGAAACAGGAATAAGAATATTGTACAAAAGTGAAAAGTGAATATGAGATGTCTACCACAAAAAAAAATGATTTTCAGGGGATAGGGGAAGCAAACTAATAAGAATAAGGAGTAAGTCCAGGTTGAGAGTGAAAGGGAGAAAAGAAAAAGAAAAAAATGAAATAAAATGGAGCAAAATGGAGTAAAATGGGGGAGAATGTTCTATGAGACTTAAAGTACAAACAAATAGTGAACAATAGGAGTTCCTTTGGAGAAGTACAGAAATAACCAGGGTATTTCATCCAACTAGCCACTGTTTATAAAAGGTGGAAAAGAACTAAGAGTCTTATAAGAAGGGAAAAGAATATGAGCTGACTCAAGAAAGAAGAGCACTTATGCTAAATGAAGGAGAAATAGTGACACTAGGGAATAGGAACACAGAGTAGTATGAGATAAAATGAAGTTTACCACAACAGTATGAAGTTCAGGAGGTTGGTGAAATGGATTAAGCCCAGGGAAGGGTGCTGTGTGGGATTTGGAATAACAATAATATGATAAAAATATGTAATCTGAATAAAATGAATAAAAGTAAAAGACCAAGAGTAGTGAGTTATTTGGAATACAAGTGAAATGAAAGAAGAAAAATTAAAATTCAATATGAAGGAGAGAAGAACAAAATAAACAAACAAAAAAACCCTAAATGAATGAAAAGAATAAAAACATTTTTTTAAAAAACATGCAAGTTCTGATGAAGCGCAAGGAAATTTGCCTCCACTGTTGGTGTTCACCTTCTGACTTCTTTCTGGTTTTGTTGCTGCTCCAGGTCATACTGTCTTACTCTTGAGGGGGCAGCAGGGAAAAATTAAAAACCCATTGGTGGTTGTTAAGCCTGCCCAGCTGGTTTTGCAGATCTTCCCAGCTCCTGCTGGTAGTTAGGGGTTAGGTTCCACTTCTCCAGTGGTTTGGCAAGGAAGTAGGCTCAGTCTGGGCTAAACAATCACAAGTGCCCAGTTTCCAGCCCATGTCCTCAGATCACTGTGTGACTCGCACCCTCCACTCTGTGCTGCTGTGCTGTATTTGTGCCAAAAGACCACCTCACTTTGCATCCCTTTGATCCTTCCATAAGGTGCACTGAGTGGAAGCAAACTGCACTGCCCACACTCCTCTCTCTTTGATGACCAGACAGCTGTGTGCATGGTCTCTGACCAGTGCACCTCAGTTCCCTTTTCGAAAGTAGACTTTTTGGCTTCAGTTTCCTGTTTGAAAACAGTCTTTTTGGGCACCACTGCCACTCCCCCACTGCCCGACTCTGCACACACTCCAACTCTCTGGCAAGTTCAGAGTCTATCTCAGACACAGCCAGTCATGGCCCACCTCTTCTCCCAGCTCTAGGTGTTGCCAGGATTTCCACCCCACCTCTACCACTGTCAGCCAGCTGGCAGCCTACAACCTGGCTTGGGTGTGCTGCCAGTTTTTTCACCCCCTGCAACTTTGCACCTTTAAGTCTCTCCTGGGGTGAGTGTGCCATTTACCAGCTCTCACAGTGGAGGAAGTTGCTATGCTGCTATCACTGATGTAGCTCTCTTCCAATGATTTCCCTGCAGCAGCCTGTTTTCTGGCAACACATCCAGGGAATTTCTCTGTCCCCATTTGCCTATGAAACCTCCTTACCACCCATTTTGAAGCATCCTCTGCACACTTTGGCTTCCAAACTTCATATCCGTTAAAATTCTGTTGGCTGTTCACTTTGTCCTTCAGAAGACCAGCTAAGTGTCCCAGCTGGGTGCACAAGCAAGAAGGCTCACCTCCCACCTACTTTGCCACCATCTTCTCTGAGAAAGATCTTATCAAAGAGGGACAATAATAATCACTGAACATCAACTTCTCTCAAAAATTCAGAATGGGTCTGTAATGAACACACCATTAGTCAACGGGCAGAGGGTATCAGCAACAGAAGGGTTAAACCTGCCCACGTGGCCATGGCAAAAGTGTGTGACCTGGGTTGTGTATGGCTACAGGATAGTCCAGCCTCTACACTCCTTGAACCAAAGGTCCCCTCTCTACCAGGTCTTGGGCATACAGAAGCAGTGTTACATAATTATAGCGAGCACAGATTTGAGAGCTAGACCATCTGAAGTCCAGTGTCTGTTACTGTTCAATGTGTATCATGTGTTATTGCTGTGCTAGTCACTGCTTGCTGTCTGAGGACAAGTTAGTCCACCTCCACGTCTCAGATCTCTCATGTATAAAATGAGGATACTAATGATAGTATCTACCTCCTAAGGTTGTTATGAGAATTAAATGAGTTAAAATGTAAAATATTTACTGCAGTGACTGGCCAAAGTGAGCTTTAGATGTGCTTGTTATTATTTTTAGTATTTTTAAATCTCCAGTTCTCACTTTGAAACCTGTTTATGTCCCCTCAACATTCTGACCACCTCAACTATAACTGCCCACAAGGTTGGGCTAATGATGGAAAATTTCATTTTCCTTATTTACATGTCTGCTCTATTTTCTATTACTTGAACTAACTTGGGTGAGTCTCCATTCTTTGTACTAGAAAGAACTTCTACAATGTAAGCTGTGAAAAAGCTCAGGTATAAACTTGTGGCTGTCACAAGTATGCACCACTGCTTTGGAGTCTTGGAGAGGGCGATTGGGAGCATGGGGCCTCTAGACTTCAGCATTTCCCTTGGGAGGGAGCCTGAGTCCAGACTCTGTGACAAGCTGAGCTGCCTTTTCTTGAAGTCATTATGTTTGGGGATCCATCCACTTCCCCCAAGTTGACTCCACATTCCAAAACAGGTAAACTTCAAGTAAAATTATCCTATGAGAAGAGCAGGTGCTGATAAGCTAACATGAGTATTTTCTGAATGTAAGAAATATAAATTGTCTTTCTGAATCCAAGTCACTCATAGGATGTGGCCAGCATTACAATATTCGCCAAGAGTCACCAGGACCCACCAGGACCACAGCAGTGCAGCATCATGGTAAAAAGTTCAAGGTAGACATGAGTTAAAATCCTGGTTGCCTGATCTTGGCTGAGCAAAAAACCAAACTCACTAGGTCTCAGCTTTCTTAACTTTAAAATGGGGGTAATAATAGAAGCTACCTCATAGAAGTACCTACATTGGGTGACATAATGCACGTAAAGTCTTCCAGCTAGTCATTTTAAAGGACCCAGCAAAACCCAATAAGAATAAACAAAGATGCAATCCATCTTTTGGTGATATCTGAGATTTTGGGGCTTTGCCTATGTTTCAGCATTATATAGGGGCGTGTAAAAATCTAGAGTTTTTTAATGTGAAATATTGAGCACACCCAGGAAGAGCAATTTAGACCCCCTCTAATTTCTGGTTCCTGATCTCCACATCTTTTCTACCTACTGAACTGAGGATGAAGAATAAAACTTCCCAAATGACTTCTAAGTCTGGATCTCAGAATGCTGTGCCCTCTCCCTTGAGATTGCTCCTTGGGAGGCTCACTCCTCCCAGAAGCCCCAGTAGGGAGATGGTAGAACACTTTAGTTTATATCTGATCAGGACAAACTGATAATTTTAAAGAGCTTGTCTGTGAAGACGTTTAAGCACAATAAAAGACAATACCAACAAGAATTAGGAAATAAAATGTGTTATAACAATATTTTTATTGTGCATAAGATTTAAAATCCCACCTTGGGACAACTAAAATCATTTTCCAAATTCTAGGCAGCCATTTATTAGTGCTCATCTCTGTCCCAGAATCAGCACCAGGCAGGGGGATTTCTGGAGTCACCAGTACTCATTAGTTTCTTCACACCACATGTGGTCACAGCCTTCCCCAATACCACCTGGCTTCCTATCTGTCCTAGAACTCTTCACTCAGATTCACACATCTCCAAATCTCAATTCTCTTCTTTCTCCCATCTCACCCCTTGATGTCACTTCTTGTCCAGCCCTAGAGCAGCCTCTGTTCTTTGGGTTAAAGGTCATAGGTCGAATTCATCCCCCTGCCTCCACCCAGCACAAGGGTTAAGATGGTGCTGTTTCTGTTCCCACAGCTGAGCTGTTCGAGATGTATTTCTTCCTACCACCTCATTCCTTTCATTTCATTCCTTGATCTCAGGTGGTAATCAACAGATAAGGAAGAGGATTTTCCCCAAGGGTTGAATGTCATCCTTGGGTTATGATTTATGGCCATGCCTCCTTTATCCCCTTCCTACTGAGGTCCTGTATCTTCCTATCAGCCAGAAGTGACACCACTGGGAGGAGGGAGGCATCAAGTGGGGTCAGGGGTGGGATGGCAGCACATCTGTTCATGAGGACAATGGATATGACCCAGTGTCCTGTAGGTTATAGATCATCCTGCAGGTTCTATCATTCCTTCTTCTTAAGATGCTTCTTCCTCGCTTTCCTCATTCATCACACTCATCTTTTCGACTCACTTTTTCCAAAAAGCCATGCCCAACTCACCCTCTGCTCTCCAAGATGGATTATGCTCCCTCATCTGAGCTTCCCTAACACTCAGGTCACACCCCTATCACAGCATCCATCACCTTGTAGTATAATTTCCTCTTCATGTCTCTGTCTCTTCCCATGAACTCCTACAAACAAGGAGAAAGATTTTTTTTCCTTTATTTTTGTCACCAATGACTACCATGCTGCTTGGTTCATAATTAGCACAAATTAAATGTGTCTTGAGGATATGAGTAAATAAACCCTATTATTTTGGGATGAAGATAAGATGAAGAGAGATGAGATGCCCTACTTAAGATTGCAGGATTGGTTGATTATGAGGCTGGGACTAGAACCCATGTCTTCTGGCTACACATTTCGTATTCTTTCTTCTATACAGCTCCTTCTGCACTGGTGGGGGTGGTGGTAGGATAGCTGTTTGTGGTCCAAGTCCCCAGACCATCTACTGAGCATTGAGCAAACAGTTTGATCAACGGATTGAAGTTCGTCCCATTTTGTCCTTGCTAAAGTCCTGACTCCATTATATCATCTAAAGCCATGATGTCTGTTTCAAGCCTGCCAAGTGACACAGTCCATACAAAGTCGTCTCTTTGAGTCCTGTACCTAGAGGAAGCTAACTTCACAATCTTAGGTACTCAGGAAGAAACTGGACCCTCGGCCCCAGAGTCCAAAGAAGGGAAACACCTTCTGGGTGAAGGAGGTAGTGAAGGTGTAGATGGGTTCCTGGGTCACAGCATTAAGAAAGGTCACCCAGCCCACTTCATAGTCAAGAGACACCCTCACCTGTCGGGGCTGCTCCTTCAGGGTGAGCCGGGTGGGGAAGGAGCCAAGGGCTGAGACGAAGCCCCATGCCAGCCTCATGGCCCACACCCCCTCCTCTGGCCTCAGCCGAAGCTCTCCCTTCCGCTGCACGTCCTCACTGACCACACCTATGGTGCAGCTGCCCCCATGAGCCAAGTCTACATTCACCACCCAGGTGTGTCTTCCCCCTGTGAAACCATCGTGGGCCAGGACACAGGTGGCCCGGTCAAAACGTTGAGGGTTGTCTGGCGAGTTCTGCCATTTGTAGGAGAACCGAGCCCGCTGGTGGTCCTCAGACAAGAGGAGCTTAGGGTGGGAAGTCTTGGGGTCTAGAGAGATGTGAGCTGTAGGGAAACCAAAAGGAACACAGATGTTAGCAGACATGTTATCTCCTCCAAGAAAAGTCTAAAAGGTCCCCCCTAGCACCCACCTGTTAGTGCTATCATTACCAACAGCGTGTATAGCGTCTAAGCGAACCAGCATCTGGGAACTTGTTAGAAATGGGTTCTCAGGCTTCATGCAGACCACCTGAACTAGAATCTGTGTCTTTAACAAGGTCTGCAGGTGTTGGGTGTACACATGAAAGCCCAAGAAGCCTGCCCCAGAGGATGAGTCAGCCCCAGTGTTTTTGCTCCCTCATTCTGCCGTTCTGTCACCTGAAAGAGGATTGATGCCCACAGTTGGGCTGCCTCTACCAACCTCCTGCTGCTGATACATCTGTCCCTCTCCTGTATCTGGGACTTGGAGGGCACAGATGCTCCCCTCTCTGTCCACACCTATGGTCATTCAGACTCTGCTCCTGGTTCATCCCAGGTTATTCATTCTGCCTCAGTAAATCAAAAACCTTCAGGGTCTTGGGGCCACTGTCTAACAACAAAAACTTCTGCAGACCCCTGCATATTGTGACTTTTAGTACCCATACATTGAGGCAAAGTGAGAAATTCAGATATGTGCTTGGTTTGGAGAGTTACTTCCAACAGCTCTGTCTTCTCAGGGTCTTTGACTGATAGTGAACAATAGCCTTGAGTGGGGTCCACTCTGTTCATTTCTTCCCCCACCATCTGCCCTCCTTCTGACAACTTTGAGGGAGTAGGGGCAACTGACCATGGTTCTAAGAGTGTGATTCTAAACTCAGATCAAAGCTTCTGTCATCCAGGACACCTTTCCTGATACACCTTGTCCCATTTTGATTTAATCTTTCTACCCCTTCATCATGTGTAGATCAGAACAGGAGCCAAATGTGTGGAAAGTGTGTGTACCTGTCCTTTGTTCTCTGGCAAGCCTTGCAAAGGTAATAATGTGTAAATTTATGTGGGTATGTGTGAATTTTTGTGTGAATGTGTGTACATACGTGTGTATATATATGTAGGATATATATATATATCCTACATATATATATTCAATTTTAGATTCTTCTCTCCCTCCCATCCAGATATAGGCTGCTTACCTGGTTCATAGTCCAACTCAAAGCAGAATTTTTCTGTACAGAGGAGATAAAGCAGGATGAGATTTCACTAGTCTCACAAAATCATAGAACGGTTAATGATGAAGAAACTGAGCCCCAGAGAAGAATGAGAGCTGGAATCCTCCAGACCAGTGTCCTAAACTTGAGCAGGTCAGACAGAGCACACTGGTTTCTCACTCATTTGACCTGGATCAAACTGAGAATTTGCATGTGTAACAAGTTCACAGGGTCTGCTGCTGCCGCTAGCTGGGAGCCCACTTTCAAACCCATTCCCCTAACCGTAAGCAGGTGGTACCCTGTCTTGTTCACCTGTGTCCTCAGTGCTTCCCACAGAGCCAAAGACATAGTAAATGCTAAAAAAAATACATACCTATTTAATGAATGGATACATGGGCTAAGTTATTTCTTGTTCTGCTTGGAAATTTTTGAGATACTCAAAGGACAGTTTCTGATTAGAATAAAATCTCTCACTACCAGGTCACTGGGAGTGCTTGCAGGAAGTGAACTTGTGGGGAGAGGTCTTCTAGGGTGACACTTTTGTGGGTGGGTCTTTTAGAAATAGGTGGCATCATTCATGATGTCATATGTGTCACAAGTAGCTGTTAGCAAAGAGCCACATTCCTGACTTTCATGTCAAATCCTCCACACCATCGCCAACCACTCCCTGTTCCAGAAAAGGGGGCACAGTCCCCACAGGGTAGTCTGACTCTGAGAACCAGAGTAACTGGAAAATGGAGCAAAGAGGAGGGAGGAAGGTCAGCATTTTTCTTTTTACCAAGGACAAAAAGAAATAGTGTTGCTGGTTATTAATTAACAGTGTTCATCATCAAAACTTATCACATACTATGAATGCTTCCATGGATTTTTAAATGATTGAGAATAATAGATTTTTATTAATCATTATTGTTCTTATTGCTTAATGCCAATCAATCAGATTTGTATTTTTCAAATCAGTTAAATTTTTTCTATAAATCTTCACCTTTATTATTTCTTTTCATTGTCATATCACCCCAATAAGCAGATTTTAAAAGATCTGCAAATAAGGAGACCAAGGCACTGGAGGGTACACACCTTTGGGAAGTGCCAGTGCTGGGCAGCAGAGTGTGGGGCTGCACCTACAGCCAGGATTCATGCCCTGTGGCATGTGCAGACCTGGGAAGCACTTACCCAGAAATAGCTTCATCTCCTTTTGCAGCGGGAAGACCTGATGGGGGAAGTCACGAATCCTCTGGCCCAGCTCAGGGGACACACCCTCTGGTTTCCGGCACTTTCTAGTTTCACATCTAGGAGCACAGAATGGCAGAGTTGGGAATTCTCCTCCTTTGTGATACCTCCAGACTCAACCAATCACCTTCTTCTAACTAGGCATGAAGGTGCCAGTTCCACCAGGATGGACCTGTTGCCCGCTCTTGGGCAATGCTATGCAAGCATGTGTATCTACCACTGTATATGGGAATGCATTTGAGTAAGTGAAAGTGTACCTAAAAACTTTATCCTAAATATGAGACTGTCATGAATTTGTATGATACTAACTGGGCTTGTGGTGCATGTGTATGTGCATGTGTTTATGTGGGAAAGGAGAACTACCATATCACTTACCTTATCAGAGTGCTTCTGATATTCTAAAAGGAGGGAGAGAGAGAGAGAAAGAGAGAGCAGGGTTTCAGTTTCTATCTTCCTCCTCCCATTTTTCTTATAACTAGAAAAGATAATACCGTATTCTTAGTTCTGGATAGAAAAAGGACACAAAATCCCCAGAATCACAGTGTTTTAGGCTTTCCGAGGCTTCCAGGATCATAGAGCCCAACCCCTTCAGTTTATAGATCCAGATGGTGAAATGAACTCCCCCTGATGTCAGAGGCAAAGGCAAGTATCACCCAAGGTCTCCTGTGTGCTGGTCTGAGTCTCTCGCCCTAAATCATGTTCCTTTCTGATACCTTGTTGAGACCCCACTATCTCTCCTGAGGAAATAAAACAGATCAGGAAGAACTTCCTAACTGGTGGGCAGTGGCACAGAGAATAGTTTGCCTTGGAAGTAGCAGCTGACATTTGCATAGTACTTGATGCTTTTCAAAGGATGCTTTCATTTGTATTTACTGCTGGGTCCTCACAAAACCCCTGTGAGGTAGAAAAGGAAAGTGTCTTCCCTATTTGATGGATGATAGCATGGAGAGACACAGACCAGGGAAGCAAGGACTAGAACTCAGAACTTCTGGTCCTGTGACCCATCTTCCACTGACTCTAGGGAGCCCAGATAGGCAGGGCAGGGACAGGTCTCACCGTCAGGAGCTCTCTGGCCGGCCTCTCCTTCTTCTCCTCCAGTTCTGCAATCAGTGAGCTAAACTGGCACATCTCCCTAGTGACCAGGACATCAAACTCATCCTGTTGCTTCAGGATGTCCCCATCCAGTCTCTCCAACTGGGCTAAAAGGATACTGTGCTGCTCCTCCAGGACCTGGCTCAGGTGTGCAAACTCAGAGATCACTCTTTGTCTCTTGGTGGCCACCTGAGTCTGAGGGGACCAGAGGAAAGGCCAACATGAAGTTATTCCTCCTCCTCCTTTTCCTCCTCTTTCTTTTTTTCCTTAGTTCATTCCCATCTCCCTCCTGGCCCAGATCTACATCCTCCAAAGTTCATTGGTAAAGTCAGAGTCCCCCACCCACCCAGGTCCCCAGACAAACTTGGAAAGGCAGCATACTTCCTTTCCACCTGCCACACTACTTCTGGGAACTAGACTATCCAGCGTTGCCTCAGAGGAGGCAGAGGAGAGGCTCTGGGGACACCCTACCTCCTGCCTTTTGCAAAATGCACATTATGTGCATAACACTAAGTTGCATTACAGGCACAATCCCATTTCAGTCCTTGTAGAAATGCCATGAGGAAGTGAAAATTTTTAATCTCCACTTCACAAAAAATAAAAAGAATAGAGTTGCTAGAAGTCATTGAGCTAGTTAGTGTCAGAGTCAGGATTCAATTCAGAATGACCATCGAAGCCCTATATGCTGTGCTGTCTTAGGTTCAGAGAGGCACTTGCCCCTGAGGAAGAGGAGAGGCCAGGTAGGGAATGATGCCTTACCAGTAGGACTTGTATCCTTTGATTTTCTCTTGACTGAATTTCTTGAATCTCCTCTCTCTCTTTTCTTAGACACTCAAGACACTTCTGTATCTGTTCCTGGAGAGAAGGAGCATAAAATATTTAAGACGGAAACATGGTTTGCTAAGGGTTGTCATCTTGTCCAACCCTCTGCCTCCAGAGAAGGAATGGCCCAAGGGAAGGAGTCACTCCCTCGGCTGACAATGCCTGGGCCTTAATTGTCCTCCACGGCTTACTCTCTTTGGGTCATTTTCCTCTGGCTTTTATCATCTAAGAATTTTGATCAGGGCTTTGGCCCTTTATCCTGTGTCAACATAGGCTGCAACTTGGTACTCCCACTTGAGCCTTTCTTTCTTCAGGTAAAGCATCAATGTATTTTGCCTTTAGTAAGTGGAATCTGGCATCTGTCCTGAGCTTGAAAAGCACTTCTTTGAAATTATTTCAACTTTCTCACACGCCCCAAAAGGAGTACACCCAAACAACCCCCTCTTGTGAATGTAATTGATTTTATGGTGTATGATTCTAAAGGGGAGAATAAACTTAGATAATGCAAAGATAATTAGTGAGCTGTTTTAAAATTGCTTGCTGTAGAATAGAGTTAGGAACAGGTACACACATGTAAATGTTTGTATAGGTAAATTTAAAAATACATATAGAACTCTCAACATCAAATACTAATTAATTGACACATATACCCACTTGTACTAAAAATATAATACACAACTAAAACTAGCACACACTCATTTAATGACAGATAAAATTATACACCACATATATTTTACCTTCTTATATACAAACACTAATTAATTCACAAACATGAGCACTCAAACAGTAACAGTTACACACTCAAATATTCAGCCCAAGTGCAGTGCACACACTGGTAAACATGCAAACATTAATACATACCCATACCATATGTGCCATCATTGCCTCAAATACAAATTCACACATGCTCAGATACACACACACACAGTCACATTTTAGTCACTCATCCTTTTAACAAGTATGTACTGAGCTCCTCTTTTGTATTGGCCATAAATGAATAACATAGACCATGCTTCAAATACAAACACATGGTCTTCCATGCCAGGGTTTATTGCCTAGGTAATGACAGGGTCAGGAGACAGAATTTGGCTCCATAGTGGCCCAACTAATCCACTGATTCTTAGTCCAGACCCACCCTGGAAAGGCCCCAGTTTGCCCTCTCCTACCCTGTAGGGTCTTGCTGCCTCCTCCAGGAAGCGCACAGTATGGGCTCGGTGCTCCTCAGCCTCCCGGCACACCACACACAACTGCATCTCATCATCCTCACAGAAGAAGTAGACCTTCTCCCCATGCTCCTGGCAGACATCCTCCTCTGTGCTTGGCCTGGACACCAGCTTGAGGCGCTCAATATTCTCTACCACACTGGCCAGCTGCCAGTTGGGCCGGAAGCTCCCTGGGCGGAAAGGCTCCTTGCAGAGTGGACAAGTTGGGGGTTCCTCGGGGTCTGGGCCCGGGATCTCACAGTAACGGGTGAGGCAGCCACGGCAGAAGTTGTGGCCACAGTCGATGGTGACTGGCTCCCTCAGGGAGCCTTGGCAGATAGGACAGTTGACTTCATCTTCCAGGCTGGTCACAGAGGTGGCAGAGGCCATGGTGCTGCTGTGTCTGGGACCTCCTCAAGGTCACCCTCTCTGCTTGGCTGAGGAAGAAGGGCTAGGAGAACAGTGAGAACATACACTCACACACACAGGAACAGACACATCTTAAGTACACACTGACACCCTCATGGTCATACACACACACAAGGGCAAGGCACCCACTTGCATTTCTGGTAGCCAGAGCTCTGCTGTCCTCCTCCCAAAGGAACAGACACACACCTTCCAACAACAGAGTAGAGAAATAGCAGTGGTGGCAAAAGGAGAAGGGGTCACAGCATTGCAGAGATGACCTCAGTTCTCTCTGGACAAGCATACATGACCTAGGACAGGCAGTTCCTTCTGTCCATGCAGAAACATTCACAGCAGAAGTGGTCGTATCTCAACTGTTCACAGTGGAAAGGGATCATTCTTCTTGTCACAGCAGGAGGGAGAGCCATGGTGCCACCCCAGTCTCCTTGCCTATGGCCAGCTGTCTCCAGGGAGATGGGACATATCAGCCAGCCCAGGAGAGTATGGGGACCCAGATAAGGCAGCTATGCCCAGAGAACACGCACAGGCTACTTTACCAGTGATGCCCTGGCTGGCCTGCCATAAGCTTCCAGAGAGGTATCTGTGTGAGGGAAGAGAAAGATAACAGCAACAGCCTTTGTATTTGATGACTACATTCCTCACACTGAAACATAGGATCTAATTTTAACTCTCATTTGCTCTACTGCTGTTAGGATATGAGCTGGGCTCACCCAGGCTATTTTTATGGGTGGCCATAATTTGCACTCAGATCTGTGTGTCTCAGAGTCATGCTGTCTGGTAAAAACAATGTGAGCCACATATGCCATCTAAACTTTTCTCGTAGCCGTAATATAAAAAGTAAAAAGTGAAAACAATTTTACTATTTTATTTAGCCTCAAATCTATCATTTTAACATATAATCAATATAAAAATCAGTAATAAGATATTTCATTCATTGGTGCTGTCTTTGAAATCTGGGGCATATTTACACAGACAATGCATGTCACTTGGTACTGGCCACCTCTCCACTTCTGCAGCCACATGTGGCTGAGGGGTTGGTGTGATAGCACAGCTCCCAGGAAGCATGCTTAGCTGGTAGGTAGGTAGGGTGGAAGAAAGGTGATGCATAAAACAGCTGATGTGCAAAGGCGGTGAAACAGGCTGAGGCTAATCAGCAATGCGAAAGTGGAAGGAGTTTTTCCTTGGTTTTAGTTACAGGTACAGGTGAGTGGATGAAGAACTGTGGCTGTTTGATCCTTGTCTTGGCTGGGAGTCTCAGAAGAGCACAGGCTGAAAGTTGGCAAACTCAGATTGACCTCACCTCTGTGTCTGTGTAGCTCTGCCACCCAGGGGAGATCATTTTGCCTCTCAGTGTACATTTCCTTCCCTGTAAAATGAAGGCAATCATACATTCCTGCAAGGGTTGCCATCCAACTGGATATAACAATATGAAATATAGGTGTTAGATAAATATGGCTGAATATGTTTATCTCACTGAATGAACTTTCTAAATTTTATCAACATGAGTCATGTGTATTATGGGATCTTTCCTTCTCTCACCTGCAATCAAAAATTAGAATTGAAGTACAATGTTATTGGAACCCCTGGACACTGGTGCTAGGGGTGGAGAGCGTGAGGACTCTAGAGGAGACCAGCCTGGGCAGATGAGGTGAGGTAAGGCAAGGAGATGAGAGGACCCGTGAGCAGCAGGCACCTGGAGGACCTCGGCATCTAATCAGGGTGGGTCCCAGAGTTAGTCACCTAAATTGAGGCTGGACTTTGCATGCTGTGGGCAATCCAGAAGTTTATGGCTCTCACCTGCACAATCAAGCAGGAAACAGCATTTCCTTCCCAATTCTTCCTACCTCACAGTGGTCAAGGGAGGGATTCCAGGAAACTCCATTTCTCTGTGACCTCATGACATGCAGTGCTTCCTCCTCCAGGGACCTACTGGAAAAGCCAGAAGGAGTGGAGAAGAGGCTGGCCAGGCCACTGCTGGGAGTGCTTGGTAAACTGAGACACCTTGGAGTTTGGACCCACTCTTGGGAAGAGCCCTGGGAAGGGTTCTGGGAAGCAGCAGAGGTAGAACCAAGTGGTTTTCCTGAACGACATCCTTTCCCTCTGTGACTCATGCAAAAGTGACTCAATTGCAGAGTGAAAGGGAATTTGTGTGGCCTGAGGCAGAGGCCTGAGTGGATGGGCTAGGGAAGGCACCGTGATGCCCTCAACCTCTTCCAGCAAGGAAGCCTTCTGTCCTGCCTACCAGGAGCCCCTGGAGGATGCAGTGACTGCCACCTATGAATATACCTTCTGCCTATGGTGATTCCCCTTATCCTTCCACACGAGTTCCAGCCCTCCAGTAGAGTCTTGCTCTGTCCTCTCTGCAAGGAGGAAGAGAAGACAGATACCCTCGTGGTCCCTGTGCCCCTGGGCTCTCTGAGGGAGACTTACTGCAGGGAGCATGGTGAGAAAATTTACTTCTGTGAGAATGATGCTGAGTTCCACTGAATGCTGTGCTGAGAAGGCCCCTTCCACCAGGCCCACACCATGAGCTTCCTCAACAAGGCTATCCAACCCTACCGGGTAGTGTGGCCTTAGCATGGGCCTGTTTGGGGCAGGACAGTGCAGTGTCTTGGTGAAGGGAACAAGGATTTGAGTGCAGGGCCATGGCTCCACATCAGGTACTCCAAGGCTACTGGAGCACTCCCAGACTCTGAGGCATGGTTCCACTGGATGTATAGTTGTTCACAGTTGGGAGGGGGGCTTCAGCTCCAGCCCTCAGAGGACCTTATGGTGATGAATCACAGAATTATAGCCATGTCTTTATCTCTGTGGAAGGAAAGAGAGCCTTAATGAAGAATGGGATCTCCTGAAAGGTGAGTTAGTGAGTGAACCTGGTTGCCCAGGATCCAGACTGGATATGGGATTGATTTACCAAGGCCCTGACTACAGGCTTAGAGGGAAGAGGGGCAGGGAGAGCACCCTGCAGGCACTGCTCTTCTTTTTGAGGAAAGGCAATGTGGCAGTAGCCTATCTGGTTTTGGGGACATCATCCATTCCTGTCTGCCTTTCAGGCCTGGAAGTGGTTTCCTCAGAAGTATCTCTCAGGTCTTTACTTCTGCAGTATCCCCACAACAACTGCCAAATCCAGGCTCTCCCTATCTGTTATCCAGACTTTGCAAGGTCTCCAGCGCATTCCCTGTCTTCACTGTCACCCTTCCAACCACTCTCCAAACTGCTGTGAGGTAGATCTTCCTAAAACCCAAAGAGGATCATGTTTTGCTCCCCTACACACAATCTCTCCATGGATCCCTAGTGCCCAAAGAAGGCCCAATATCTGTATCAAGGCATCCAAGGCCATTTGCAGTTGGGATCATGCTTACTTGTGGAGTCTCATCTCAGCTGCCTTTTTCAAGGCACTATGTGTCCAGCCAGATGGACCTGTATGTACCTGCTGTTTTCTGAATTGTTTTACTCTTTCTTGTTTCTAATAATTTTCACATGTAGTTCCTTCCTCCTAGAATGTTCTCTCTAGAGCCTCACTTTTTTTTTTTACAATTTTACCAATTTTTAAATGTACAGTTCAGAGGCATTAAGTCCTCTCCTCCCCTTCTCTTATCCAACTGAAAATTTACCTTTCAAGACCCACTGTAAATGTTTTTTGCTTTCTAAAACCCTTCCCTTGTTCCTACAGGCAGAATTGCCCCATTCTTTGTGTTCCCATCTTGCTGAGTGCCCACCTTAATTGTTGCATTTGTCTATATGTATTTTAACCATTTGTGACTGACTCTTTCTGTAGGTGGTGATCTCTTTAAGAACAACGACTGGGCCTCTTTCATCTTTCAACTCCTCAGCACTCAATGGCATGCCAAGAACATGGTAGACACTTAATATCTGTGAGTTGAATTATGAATTAAGCCACCTCTTTTCTCCCCACAGGACAATATCAGGAGTCAGTTGGAAGCCTTCAGCAGGTAGAAAGATGAGATTGAGGACAGAAAGAGTTGGGGGACCAGAAGTTCCATGTGCTTCTGGTAGAGTCCACATCATTGGCCATTTTCTCCTCTGGGGTTTTCTTTTTTTTTTTTTCTGTGCCACCTCTGGGGTTTTCTTAACAGACCCTGGGAGCTTATTGCCTATTGCCTGGCCAAAAAAAAAAAAAAAAAACACCTGGAAAACTGTTCTCATTCACCTCTCTCACTCTGTATAAGGGCATTTTGGGGTCAAGAGTGTGGAATCCCAGAATATCAGAGCTGGTGGTGGTTTATGACATCTAATCCAAGATCCACTTTATCAGTCATATTTTTATAAGCAGAAAATTGAAGTCTAGGAAAGTGATGCTCCCAAGGCCACAGTGCAAAGCCCAAGTTCATGATGAAATAGCTAGAACCTAAGTCTCTTGACCCAAGTCCATTGCTCTTACCATTGCAGTCTGTCTGTCTGTCTGACTGAAAGTATTGCTTTCCAATGAGATATTTAGGACCAGAAGATGTAAGTTAGTGTCTGCATTTTAGTTCTAACCATGAAGCTGACCCCAGGACAGTAGGCAATGATGTGGCTACATCAGGCTCTTTCCCACACATTTTGTGTCATAATGTTATCCAGGAGAAAATTTTCAGTGTGAGAATTTCTGGTACCTTGACCAAGGAGACAAAACTTTGGGACAGAAAGATCTCTCCAGAACCCCTCAGTTCCCATCAAAATATTCCCTGTAGGTGGTGTCCTCAATGGCTAAGGCCAATATCACACACTCTTCCAACAAGTTGTAGTAACTCTAATTACAGATTCCTCTTGTTTCCAATGTTCTCTAAAAAATGACTAAATGCATTTCCACCTGCTACTAGGGAATATATCATTGGGTTAGGATGATATCATAGATGTAGAAAGATTTTTTAACAGTTCAACGTGGCTCTGAGAGCATAACATGGCATTATTATCAGAATCTGTAAGTAAAACAAGAACATAGCCCTCATTATTGGTAAGTTTATCCTGAGACCTACCTATTTCTACCATAGTGTTTTTTGGGAGAATGAGTCTTTGAACTAGTTACTGACTATCCCTCTTAATCAATAGTAAGCATGTAGATGATTGTCCTGGAAGCCAGCTCTGTGAGCTTCTTCCTAACCATGTCTACCTCTACCACTCACAAATTCAGATTGAAAGCAAGAAGCAGCAGGTAGAAGCAGCTTTTGTGAGGTTGCAACAGGAGCTAGGAGGATAACAGTGTCTCCTGCTGACCAGGACGAGTGAACTAGAGCAGCAAATCTGGAAGGAAAGAGACAAAGGTCACTGAAGAGTTTGCCCAGCTTGAAACTCAGGTCAAGGAGCTGCAGGAGAAATGTCAGCAGCCAGCAAGCAAGCTTATACAAGTGAGAGACAGCCCACCACCTTAAATAAGAGAGATATTCCACAGGAAGGGACAATGTGCTGTGGGCTGGAAGATGCTGGAGAGAGGCAGGAAAGGGAAGTGGAGATTATTTGTATTGAGAGGAACTGATAGTTATCAGGTTATATTTTCCCAGAGAGGTTACAGAGATGCAGACCCCAAAATGCAGGATGCCTTGCCCAGGCACTGTACTCATGAGAAAGGCTTTGGAGTCAG